TCAAGTTGGTAAGGGCTTAAAATATAATAGCATTACAAGAGTAAAAAAAACGTTTTTTATTATTTTAAATTTAATATCAAACATTTTTATTTTAGGTGATGTATTTATAATACACTGTTATAAAAATCAGAATTGTTAACATGAGTTTGTAGTTTGTTAATTTTATTTTGTAATTTTTTTTTATTTTTTTAGACAAAGGAACATATTTTACCGAAAGTATTGTAAAGTTAAATAAAAAAATATAAAAGTATTCAATAGTTTCTCAACGCCAATATTTGAAAAGTTTTTATGAACGCCAATATTTGAAAAGTTTTTATTGTACTGAACTTAAATTCGGGCACGAACTCCACTGTTAAGTGCTCATAAAACATTTTCTTTACTTTCACTGTGAAAAACTGTCAATTTTCAAGAAATACATTTCAATTTATAACCTTTATAATTGTGTTTATAAAGTAAATAAAAATTTGACATTTGACGGTGATACACAGATTCCCCTATTGTTTCATAGATGGCGCTCTATACAAATTTTTGATTTAAATCATTTTAAGAAAATAATAAGTATTTGTCGTAGAAAAAGTAAAGTATGCACCTCGTTTATAAACTTTTCTATACACTCATTAAATTCGTGTATAAAATGGCATTATCGAACTTACATAATATACTATTAATTGCGTGGATGTTATTTTTGTGTTCATTTATGTGTTAATTTTTTTGTTAAAGAAATTAATCAATAAGGCAACATTTCTTATTAAAGTTATTTTTATTTAAGTTCTCAATTTTCAACAAATACCTTTGTTACTAGCTGGGTCTACAAAAAGTTTGTAAAAATAAGGTCCTTTTTAAAAATTACAAGAATTATGGTTAAAGTATTGACATGGAATTTTGTTATAAAATCTACAAAATCTCTGAATAATAATAACAAACTACTTATTCAATTAGTTACCAGACAACAGTTGGTTGTAAACTTAACATAAAGTTATGTGAACCTGAATTAACATAAAATCTGGTTAATATTTGTTTAAAATTTATTTATCTTAAATAATCCTAAAACCTCATAGGCTGTAAACATAATTTAGAGCAATCGGGTGAAGTTTTTTACCTCCTAGTATGTAAAAAACTCGTTTGGACTTTCGGATCTAAACTAACCTCACACCCGACTTTTTATTAATTATTATATTTTACGTTTTATGTTCTATTTAAAAAATAATAAATACCTGGAAGATAAAATGTTGTATGCCATTCCGCTGAGAAGTGTATTTTTGTGCTTCGCTCCCGGTAGGCCTCTGCTATGCGTTGGCATTCAAATTAATATTTTTTGAGTGCTGAATCTAAACTTGACCTTTTTTGTGAAAACAAAACCCTATTTTAATTAGAAAACATAATAAAAAACTACTACTAGATTTAAATCCCATTTTGATTACAAAGACTCAACTGTTCAGACAATTCAATGAAAACTTCATAAAGAACTACTAAAATTAATTTAACAGTTTAACTTGTAAGACGGTTACCACCAAGTTACCGCACTTTTCCTTGGCAATGAATACACATTTGTTTCGAACAGACATTGTTAATCAAGCCGAACAACTTTCTGAATCATTAATTGTTAGCTGCAAGTTCATAATGGCAGGAGAACCCTGTTGCACTAAGCTAAATTGCATTGAAATTGGAACGTTTGAAATAGCAAAATTACAACGGTGCTGGCAATTCGATAATGGAAGACAGGATGCATTTGATCCTAATAGACACCACTGTCTTTGCGAAATTGGGAAATGTTTGAAATTTAATATTTCAATTAAAGTTTAATGTCTATTTTAATTGAGCTTATATATCACACCGGAAACCTTTGAAACACATCATGATTAATACAATTTATACGGGGTTTTTAGGAAAATCTAACCAAAAAGTACAAAATTTGTTGTTATCTAAAAATACTACTACTACTACTTTACTTTTTAAATGATACAAGAGCGAAAATGAGTACCCAAATTACCCACACTGAAAAAAAAGGCGCCCTTAACTTAAGTAGTCAACTCTCTTGATAAAAATTATTAGAGGCAAGAAACAATATTTTAGCATAAAAGAGCTTGCTTAAAGAAAAAAGTTCTTAGTGGAAGAAGTATAGTTCTCTTGAAAACAAATACAAAATCTCTCGAATGTTTCTTCTTTTAACCAAGTGCAAAGTGTTTTTGTTCAAAAGCTATGAAAATTATTTATATTTACGCAATTCATTAAAGATACATCACAATTATCCCAATAGCATGTAAATTTTCTAACAAAATCTGGTAGCTTCTGATACATGGGAGGGGATGCAAAACGCGCACACCGTTTGCGGCACACGTGTTTAGTACGTTTTGTATCATTGCAACTTGCAATTCGCCATTTTCTAGGGGCAGTGATATAATATAATATATAATATTATAATATTTATTCTATTATAGGTATTTCTAATAGACATTTTGCCAGTTGTGTTGTGTTGAGGTGTGTTGTATGTACTTTCACGATGAAGTTGAATCATTAAAAATCTTTTTAAATAAATGAAATTTAATTAATTTGTTTAATGTTTTTGAAGGTAAGGTATCAATTAAAATTTGCTAAAATTTTTTTCGTTAAATCATATCATCTTATATGTTAGTTTATTGTTGTTAGTATATTGGTGTTAGTATACTATATATAAAGAAACTTGCGCTTTTGTTAATATCAAACAATAAATGTCTTATTTTATTTAAATACTTTTCTTGTGAACCTTTTTTCAGTCAATCTTCTAGTTTTCAACGATGCCAATATTTAGGCTTAAACTTCCCTTACTACAAAGGTAATTGATTTTAATTGTTAAATGCACGTTTTAATAATAATATAATATATAATAATAATATAATAATATTTAATTATGCTCCAAAAAGATACACAATTTTTGCACAAGTCACACAAAGAGTAAGTAACAAAATATAATAAATAATTTATAATGAAAAATAAGAAAAATTACACAGATAAGGGAAATAAATTACAATTACAGGTAAAAACATACAATTACAGACAAGATGATTTACATAGCAAGATTTCGCAATAAAAATATATTAAAAGTTAATTTTTAGCAACAGCTTGGTTATGCCATAATAACTTAGAGTCTATATGTATACCCAAAAACTTTGTATGTTTGGTCAGTTCAAGATTTGTTTTGATATTTGGGATATTTTTTAAAGTGAATATTATATTGACCTTCTTTTCAACATTTAAGTTTAATTTGTAGGTGATAAACCATTGCAGGGCTTTCGATTGTGTAGCGCAACTATTCTGATTTGCAAGTTCTAATTTTTTACCTCTTACAACAAATGAGGTGTTATCTGCAAACAAGGTTATATTGTTTGGTAAAGATAGATAGTTTGGCATATCATTGACGAATATCAGAAATAATAGAGGTCCAAGGATCGAACCCTGAGGAACACCATGAATTACATGAGAAGGTTTGCTAAGCCATGCATTGTTTATGACTATTTGCTGTCTTGACGATAAGTATGAGCTTATCAATTTTACACTGTTGGGGTGAAAATTGTAGCAATATAATTTTCTAATTAGAATTTCGTGCGATACACAATCAAAAGCCTTAGGTACTCAGGTCTAAGAATGTGCCTATCATATATTCGCTGGACTGGAAGCAGTTATTTACTTCGGAAATAAATGATAAAATGGCATCGTTTGTGGATAGGCCTTTACAAAAACCAAATTGTTTATCTGTAAATAATTTAAAATATTGGAAATATTCCAAAATTTATTTAAAGATAAGTTTTTCATATACTTTTGAGAGGATTGGTAAAAGCGAAATAGGACGGTAATTATTAACCTGATTTCGATCACCTTTTTTTAAAGTCTTAGGAAAGATTTTAAAATTAATGATTAAGTTAATTAGTTTTGTAAGAGGGATAAATAGTTTCCGTGAAGATCAAAACCTTTTGAATAAAGCAATACATACTATTGGACCAAGAAATATTTGCTCTAAAATTAAAATAAACTGTGGTTATATCAATATATTGATATACTATAGTATATGCTTCCGAAGAAATATTTTTGGTTCTTGTACCAAGAAATCGCTTGCTCTTGATTTAAGGTAATATTGAAATATCCCTAAACGAATAGATAAATCTCTCCATCGAAGTAATTTAAAAAAATGTATGTTAAGATAGTTTCTGATTTAGATTAAGAAATACAGCTCTTGGCTTTTTTTAAAATTGCAAATCTTTTAAATCAAAGTGATTTTCATTTCTTTTAAGAGAAATCATTTCATATATAGTTTTAGGTATATTAGCTGTAATAAGGTGGGGTGGTATCTATAGATTGAGTTAAATGAACTTGAATCCCTTCCTATTGTGTAGATTTTATACTGTTATTAATGTATAATATACATTGTATATAATAATCTAACACAATAAAAACATTTGATTTTGAATTTGAATTTTATCAACCAGTTTAATTATAATAATAATACTGTTTATTTCCATCTAAAAAATTTATATTTTGTTGGATAATGTCAATTATAAAATAGTAGTATATAAATTACAAAATAATAATTTTTACATTCAATATGATACAGACATATTACACATTAAAATCAAAATCGAAGTATTCTTGCACACCGAAAAATGGGTGATGAGTAAACAAATATTTTACATCTTTTTTTTTTAAAGTTTGAGTGTGAGGTTTTTTGTGGCATCTCGTAATTTATTGTAGGTCTTGAGAGCTCGAAAGTGGGTAGATTCTTCGTAGGTGGTTGTATTGTGCGTCGGTATACTGATCAAGTGCCCGTATCTAGTTGTATGCAAAGTTTGGAGTAAAGTATTCTGGATGCATTTTTGCAAACATAACCAATGGTTATTAACCATATTGTACAGGTACAGAGAGTGTATGGGCATTATATTTAGTTTAATGAATTTAATTTAATTATTACTTACACTCGATAGAACGGTTGTTACGGGTGCATCTGGGAACGCGTCGAGACGAAGGCACGCATGAATCCGCCGGTGGTCCAGCGACGCGTCGCGACGCCTCTCTATGTGCGAGCGTCGTCGGCGTCGCGGCAGTGCTACCAAAACACGGCGACGAAACGGTCGGCGAGAAGGCACGCGGTAGCCAGCGAACGAGAGCGCGAAAAATTAAGTCGCTCCAGGCAGCGCACGTCCTTTGGCCTGCTGTTCAGATTTAAGGGGCGCTCGAGGTAAAACTTTGCGAGAGTTTGTCGGATAGGCTTGAGTTGTGGTTTTTATGACGAATTGGGAAGTTTCAACGATGTAAGTTACATGTTGATGATAATTAAATAACTAGGAAAAACATTCTTAATTAAATAGTTTTTTTTTAAGTTAAATACTATTTTTAATACGTTTCTACTTTTAACAAATTTGTTGTGGGTTTAAACCTACATATAATAAAGAACAATAAATTGTGTTTTACATATTATTTAAACATATTGTTAAATTTTAAAGTTAAACAATTTTCTTTAAATTAATTAAATCGGTCTTAAAAATGTTCTTTAAGGAAAAAATATTGCTGTATAACTTATAGAGCGCGTGGGAAAATTCAGGACTGTGTTACTATCAAAGTTTCGAAAATTTGGTTTTAATTTAATATATGCGGAAACCTTTTACCTTTTAAGTTTTCAAGTATCTTATCATTATTGAAAAATGATCATAGGCATTCAATCTGGTTTAAAATATGACTTGTATTTGTATTAAGAAATTTTTTATTTCAAATTTAATATTTTAATATAATGAATACATTTTATGGTGTTACCCCCGTGATATTTAATAAAATGAGTTTGATATTGTGTTTTGATCTTTCATAATTAGGTAGATATTACAGCTCAGGTTCCAGATTTTTAACTGCAATTAATTGTTTTTTTACAATGTTTTAAAAGTCTAAAACCTATCCTCTGTGACTCTTACTCTTTCTAGGTTAACCCATAGGTTTTCAAATATCTGAGGTAGTAAAAGCATACTAAAAATATCAGTTCACTAAGTAAATTAAACACATCCAAAGCAATCGAATCAAATATAAAATATAATTAAAAACTAAAAGAAATAATTTTTACAACCATTTATGTAGGTGTTACAAAAATTGATTCCGTTATTTACCAAGTTGGCTGTTTTTACTTGGGTATCGTTTAAATTGTTACTTTATATGGCCTAATACCAATTAAAAAAAATTAAAAATTTCAGATGCCGCTTAACCCTGCCTAAATGGCGATAATTTAGTTAGATAAGTATTGCACTTTTTGAAAATTATTTTTTTTCTTGTTTATTATTTTAATAACTCACAAAATATTGTTGATTCTGCTTCTATTATGAATAAATAAGTTTTGATATTTATTCCGTAAATTTTGATGAGGTCAAAATTAATTTTTACGGTTTTTTTCAATAATTTCGTTTAATTTACCGACCATTCAATATATATTCCGTATTTAATGTTAAATTTTATTTTACACGCTTTTCATATTGACTTTATATAGATTGAAAAGCATAAATCATTAATAGTTTATTTCTATCGTTCTACCATTAACCTTTAGGTTGAAGTATTTTTTACTTTATTAAAATGTTTTAAATCGCAGAGGGCCGTGTGCGGAAACGTTTATTTATTAACTGATTTAGCATATCAGTGGATTTAGGTTTTTGCATGACATGGCAACCCAGTAATTTTTTTTAAACTTTTATTTCATTAAATAAATTGGGCAATTATCTTTATAACGTTTATAGTATCCCTAAAGAGTTAATTTCTACACATTGAAATTTTAAATTAGATGTAAAACAATTATTCATAATTATTTAATTTAGACTATTTAGATAAAATATTAATTTTAAGCAAAATTTTTTTTTTACATTTTTGATAATTAAAACTAAATAAAAAAAATATTGATTTGTGTTTTTAATTTTAACATTACGAGGTGTGTTCAGAAAATATCAAGAATTTTCGTTTTTTGAAACAAATATTTATTTATTCGTCTACATTAATGTTGTCACCTTCAAAATAGTCCCCATTGGATATTATGCACATGTGCCAGCTCTTCTTTCAATACTCGAAACACTTCTAAAACTCGATCTTTGGGATAGCCTTTAGTTCTTTCAGCGATGCGCTTTTAATGTCATCTATGCTTGCAAAACGACGGCCCTTTAAGGTTCTCTTTATTTTTGGGAATAGGAAAAAGTCAGGCAGAGGCTTGTCTGGCGAATATGGAGGCTGGGGCATCATTACAGTATGTTTTTGGCCAACATTTTTTTTCAAAATTTGACAATTTTAGAACAAATTTTGCTGCCACGCGTTTCATACCCAAAACATTCCAAAAAATTTCATGGATGAGCCAATCGATATACCAACATCATCAGCGACTTCTCTGATGGTTTATAACCATTTCTTACAATTTTTCCAGTTTTTTATCGGTTGTTAATGTGCTTGTGCGTTTGGGTCGTTCGTCATCTTCAACGTCTTCACGGCCATCTTGGAAGCTCTTATACCACTTGTAAGCTCTTGTTTTACTTATAGCAGACTCACTATAGGCCTTTGTTAACATTTCACAGAATTTATTTCATTTTTTAAGCAAAATTGAATACAAATTCTTTGATCCATTTCTTTTAACGAACGAAAAATCGCCGACCTCAAAAAACACGTCTAACCTTAGCGGCTGCCCCAGACAAAGTAAACAATGAAAACAGCTAAAGTTTTTATCATACTTCGGGGGCATGTATACCAACATTATAAAGAAAAGTTTATGACAACCGGACCCTCCGCACCAGCGAAATTTAACAATTCCCGTTATTTTCTGAACACACCTCGTACATACAGAATATATATTAAGTAGTCGGTAAATTCAACAAAATTATTAGTAAAAACGGTAACATTTTTTATGTATAAAACTTTAACTTTAGGAAACTTGAATACCTGTTAGTAAAAAAATCGTACTTTTTCAAAAAAAAAACAGATTTAATTATTTCCAATGAAAAAGTGACATTACTTTTATATTTTTATTAAAAATTATTGCAGAATGGTATATAGAGAAGAAATCGAACAAAATTGATTTTTTATTAAAGCGCTATATTTTATAAATGTATACATTATTTCATTAAATCAAGATTAATTAGTATTACATTTAAAACTTTGTATTTTTTTATTCTTGTTTTTGTTTGTTATTTTTTGTCATCGTTGTGTTGAGACTAAAAAGGGTTGGGCTCCAAGGCGCAATTGGCTACATTTTTTCCTAGGGTACAAAAAACGAAATAACCTTTAGAAACAACTAAAATAAATTTTATTTAGCTCGAAGATTACCTAATTTGCAAACAAAAAGACCAATTTTCGTTGAGCAGTCAGGTATTCATAATGGATTTTTTAACAGTGGAAGAAAAAATAGAAATGGTTTTGATTTATGGAGAAGCAGGCAGAAATCTTGAAGATGCTGTTAATATCTACGCTAAGCGTTTTCCTGAAAAAAAATCGATCGCGTACTTGATTTAACGAAATTCCAGCATATACGCTACTTACTTGTTTAGACTAATTTAAAACTCGAATTAATAAGTGCATTGAAGTCAAAGGGCACCATTTTAATAAAAATTTAAAAAATAAAAATTGTGTTTAGCTAAATTTATTTTTTAAATAGTAACAACCAGTATTTTATAGAAAAATTATTGCAGAATCCCAAATTTATTGTTAATATATAAGTGTATTTATATGGGCAGAAAGACCTCGGTCATTAGCCTTTTGGTTTATTCCAATAAAGATATTTACTACTACTTATTGCAAAATCGAATACAGAAGAAAAATTATTTTTTTTATTACAGCGCCATCTATTATAATAATTATCTATTAGACAAAATCTACCTATTTTTAGTTGAATGATTCGAAACTGTAATAAAAAATAGGGTGTTCCTTTTAAAATTTTAAAGTTACCCCATGTCCTCCTTAAAAAAATTAATATGGGGAATAATTTTGGTACTAATTTATTTCCCCCTTAAATCATTTAATTTTTATTTTAATTTTTTTTCGTAAAATACTAATTAATTGAGGTATTTGATATGTAAGGTTAAGTCTACGTAAGGGTATATCTTCTTGTATTATAATAATACTATAACTCATTACGCTAGATTACACTGTGCAACATTTTTAAGGTCATCGATTTAGGACTCAGTTTTGATTTTTTTTTCTGAAAGTACTTGTTAAAACTGGAACTTCTGCATCATTACTTTTGCCAAGTTGGTTCGGAATAAGAGAAATAAATTCAAAACCGTTTTTTGGCTCAAACTGGATTTTAAGCAATTTTTCGATATTTTTACACGGCTATATCTCGTAAACCGACGGAGATATTTTTTTGTGTCTGGAGCAAATTTGTAGGTATTGAATGGAAGAAAAAAATGCAAAACAAACTTACCCGAACAAAATGCATCTGGTGCCTCAAAATAGCAAAAATGCTTATTTTTCACCATTTTTTAAAACTATTTTTCAACATTTTTCGACAATTACTCGGCTACACATCTACAAATATGTTGTTTTTTTATTTTTAACTTTATTTCGTATCATACAAATGTTTTTCAATTCATTTTATACCTACATAGAAAATATAAGTTTATGGCTGTTATGTAGGTATTTATGAAAAAGAGATAAAAATATGTTAATTGTAGACCGGAATAAAAACCTATAAAAATAATTATCTTTTTAATGCATTTTTTGCAACCCTGCTGCTTCATTTGTTTATCAAGCGTGTTTTGTGCAACGAGATATAATTTTGAGTGAATAACATTTTAAAAGCAAATAAACATTGAAATTTCAGTATGGAAAACAGCAAGTGCCCAAAAATAAATAATTTTTGTTACGTTTGTGGTCATATGGTGCTAAAAAAAGAAGAAAAGGAGCTAATAAGTTTGTTTAGTGCGGATTTCACAAAAGCATATGAGCATTATTTCAATGAAACTGATTCAAGTGGTGAAGATTTTACGCCGAACACGGTGTGCAAAATGTGCTATAACACTCTTGTGAATTGGATACATAAAAAAGGAGCACAGTTGCCTTATGTGAAGCCAATAATTTGGATTAAAGACCCAACCGGGCACGATGTATCCAGGTGTTACTCATGCATTAATTTTACTCAGGGAATGAACAGAAGAAAGTTGAAAACAAAAGTATATGTTCCTGCTTTTACTGCCGTACTTCCATTGCTACGCCAGAAAGGTGACAAACTACCTAAACCTCCGACTCCGTTGTCCCCCCATGGGTCCCAGCGAGCTGAAACAATTTTCACCAACCCGACCAATGTGGCAGATGTAGAATGGGAACCCGATTTTGAAGATGATGGACCACAACCGCTAACACAAAGCGAAATGGACTACATTGTGGCTAGGATGGGAGCATCGCAACGAAATTCGGAATGGTTGACCTCATTTTTGAAGAGCAGAAAACTCACACAGCAAGGGGTTAACGCCACATCGTACCGGAAACGCCAAGCTGATTTCCAGACATTTTACACTGTTAACGATGAAAATACGTTCGCTTACTGCCATGATATTCCAGGTTTGATAAATAAATTGGGAATGGAGTATAACGCTAACGATTGGCGATTATTCATCGATGGATCAGTTTCCAGTTTGAAAGCTGTGCTGTTGCACATAACAAACAAAAAACCATCCATTCCAATTGGATTCGGCATAAACAAGAAGGAAACGTATGAAACATTGGGCGCAATATTAAATAAAATCAAGTACGAAGAACAAAAATGGAAGATTTGTTGCGACCTAAAAGTTGTGAACATATTGCAAGGTGTCATAGAAAAGGGCGGTTTTCCGAAATACTTTTGCTTTCTTTGTTATTGGGATTCGCGATACAGAGGAAATCAATATCAATGTAAAGATTGGATACTAAGAACTTCCGATAACCAAGAACAATTGAGATTACACAATGAACCAATGATACAGGATATTGCTGATATATTGCTGCCACCGCTCCATATAAAATTGGGAATCTCTGGGAAACTCATCGAAGTTTTGGTCAAAGATGTTAATGGCGCCTTTGAATGTTTGAAAACCATCTTTCCAAAACTCAGCAATGATAAAATTAGAGCTGGTATGTTTTTTTAATATTTTTATTTGTCTCTATTCGCTTTGCTAATATTTTTTTTTCATTTTGAACAGGTGTGCTCAATGGAACGGATATACGAAAATTAATGAAAAGTGAAGCCTTCACAAACATACTAACAAACAATCACCTGCATGCATGGAACGCATTAAAAGCAATAATCGAGGGCGTTTTGGGGAAGAATCGTGTACAGTCAGACGAGATAAAGAGAAGAGTTGATGCTTTATTGGATTTTTACGAAAAAATTAATGCATCTATGACGTTAAAATTACATTTTTTACATTTTCACCTTGATATGTTTTTGCAACAATTGCCCCAAGAATCGGACGAACAAGGTGAGCGTTTCCACCAGGTCACCATGCCAATGGAAAAGCGATTCAAGGAAAAAAAACTGGATGCATTGCTTGCAGAAGTTTGTTGGTGGACAAGTAAAATAAGCGAATATGAAGATGAAGGCACCGAAGACTCAGATCTCACAAGATACGAGGGTCACACAGAAATAGATATGCCATTGAATCCTTTATCTTCAGAAGACTCAGGTGACCAACCCACGAAAAGATTAAAATTATCAGAGCCAGAGGCGTCAAGTTCGATGGATGTCTACAATTAACATATTTTTATCTCTTTTTCATAAATACATAACAGCCATAAACTTATATTTTCTATGTAAAAATAGGTATAAAATGAATTAAAAAACATTTGTATGATTCGAAGTAAAGTTAAAAATAAAAAAACAACATATTTGTAGATGTGTAACCGAGTTATTGTCAAAAAATATTGAAAGTTTTAAAAAAATTGAGAAAAATGGGCATTTTTGCGATTTTGAGACACCAGATGCATTTTTTTCGGGTAAGATTGTTTTGCATTTTTTTCTCCCATTCAATACCTACAAATTTGCTTCAGACACAAAAAAAATATCTCCGTCGGTTTACGAGATATAGCCGTGTCAAAATATCGAAAAATTGCTTAAAATCCAGTTTGAGCCAAAAAACGGTTTTGAATTTATTTCTCTTATTCCGAACCAACTTGGCAAAAGTAATGATGCAGAAGTTCTAGTTTTGGCAAGTACTTTCAGAAAAAAAAATCAAAACTGAGTCCTAAATTTGTGTGTTGCACTGTGTTATAAAAACAAGCATAACATTACCATAATTTTTATTATATTTATAAAATACAAGCTAAAAGCTTTTTTTACTAGGAATTTAGTATATAGACTAACTTTATTACACTGGTCTGGTTTATGCTCCTTTTACCAATTCATAACTTTATTATTATAGCATATATTCGAAGTATATTAATTTATTAATAAAAATAGTGGTACTAAATTAATTTCAGTTATAAACCTATACAAACAAGATATAATATATTATAACAAAATTCAAATTAAATAATACAAATAATATTGTTTATGGGCTTTATTTAGATTAACCCCTTGATAAAGTAAACAATATAATTAAAATAGTTTTTTTAATATTAAAATCCGGTAATACACAATAAACAATAATTATTGAAGTGGTCCATATCACTTCTTCAAAGCGAAATGGTGGCTTTTCATGTATAAGGTGAAAAATATAATTTATATATTTAGTAATAAATTTTACATTATACGAGGTGTGTTCAGAAAATAACGGGAATTGTTAAATTTCGCGGGCAGAGGGTCCGGTTGTCATAAAATTTTCTTTATTGTGTTGGTATACATGCCCCCGAAGTATGATAAAAACTTTAGCTGTTTTTATTGTTTACTTTGTCTGTGGCAGTCGCTAAGGTTAGACGTGTTTTATGAGCTCGGCGATTTTTCGTTCGTTAAAAGAAATGGATCAAAGAATTTGTATCCAATTTTGCTTAAAAAATGAATTAAATCCTGTGAAATGTTAGCAAAGGCCTATAGTGAGTCTTCTATAAGTAAAACAAGAGTTTACAAGTGGTATAAGAGTTTCCAAGATGGCCGTGAAGACGTTGAAGATGAAGAACGCTCCGAACATACAAGCACATTAACAACCGATAAAAACAAAAAAGTGGATGAAATGGTTATAAACCATCAGAGAAGTCGCTGATGATGTTGGTATATCGATTGGCTCATCCCATGAAATTTTTTCGAATGTTTTGGGTATGAAACGCGTGGCAGCAAAATTTGGTCACCTACAAAAATATATTAATTTCGTTTATGTTCAGAGCCTGATGAAATATTTAACACATAAGTACACCCGAAAGTGACATTAAGCTGATCTTTTTAAAGAGACGTGGTTTCACGTTTTTCGCAATTTCACCTTTTTAATAAAACACTGAAAACTTTTTACTTAAGGATAATTTTTACCATTTAAAATTAACAAATTTATACATTTACCTTTATAATGCAATTTTTTGTATATAAAGATAACAGTACTTGATTATAAATTATAATAATGTTTTAAAGGTAGGATGATAAAGAATGTTAAGAGATTCCATAAATATTATCGTTCCTAAAATTTAATTAATAAATTTAACAAAAAAATACTGGGTTTGTACTTTTATGTTTTGCTTCTTCCGAATTTTCGTATCACGTTCAAAGTATTTCAGGAATATTAAAAACTTGAGCTACTTAAGGGCTTTTGTGAGTACATAAAAGCAATTTTACTACCTATTTAATTTATTAGGGCTTATGTCAAAATTAAAAACAAATTTGCTCGTAATACAATGTAAAGGTAAAACCCTTATTAACAGATTAGATTAAAGCAGCTTAAATGTTTGACAATATTTTTAAATTACTTTAATAAAAATAAAAAAGTAATTATTAAACTAACTAAAAAAACCAAAAACCTTTTAAAAGTGTGATGATTTTGGAGTTCAAAAGTACAAACGGTTAAACCGGAAGTGGAATTTCGTTTAAAATATTTTAGAAAAATAGACTTTAAGACGCTTTTAAAATTTCAAATCAGTATCCTTTCTCATTCCCCACAAACTTATAATGGACCACAAATGTAAAACACCCTGTATACATACACAATTGTATATTAAAGAACTAATGTCATAAGACGTCATTTTGTCGCACGCGGACAATTTATATTTGAATTATTTTATCTATTTTGCAAAAATTCTATAAACCAATTAATTTAATACCTTAAATTTAATTTGGTGAAATTTTACTTTAGATAGTTTGTATCACAGTCATTGGTTTGACAGTTAATGTCAAAATCGATTCGCCATGCCGTCCTTAATTTATTTATTTACAATAGGCGGCTGTTAATGTTAAAGAAGAAAAAAAAGGATTTTCTTTAATGAATTCATTATGAACGCAAAATAGATAAATGCATATTATAACACAAGAACGTGAATTAAAAAACGTAAAAAATAGGATTTAAATGCGACAAAGTTTTTATGGTAACGCTTTTTTACAGTGTCAGTGACAGTTCCATATGCAGTGTTATTTAAAATAAAAAACTTAGTTGAAACGTAGTGAAAACTAATTTTGAATATTGGATATAATTTAATTATTTTTTATGATACTCAATGGAGGTATCATGTTTTAATGATAAAAATAAAACAGTAACCATTTATTTTTAGAATATGTTTTTTAATGGCCGAAAGAAGGAAATTCAAACTTTACTAAATCATCTCTCAAATAAATTTTTACAAAAAAAATCTTTTAATTGTTTGTTTCAGATTAATCTATCCGCCTACTAAAATCCTTTTGAAATTTAATTTGAAGCTTTCCAGATTAATTTAATAATTGTAGCTGAGAAACTTTGAATGGAAGCAGTTGGAAAAAGTTTTCTGTATCGATAAAAAACTGATATTGATTGAATTTAACTGGAAATCTGCCAGTCGGCTGTGAAAAATATTAACAAAGAAAAATATAGACAATGAAAAAACGACAATCAACGTAAAACCTCAAAGACCATAAAATTTAAAGCTATAAATCAATTCAGAATAAATATGAAATAAACGTAATCTGTAGGTAAATAAAAAGCGCTATAAAGTTTTTATCTGTTTAGGAAGCCATTGTTTTAGTAAAAATTTTAAATTCCGAAATCTTGTATTTTAACATTTTTATTGTTTTATCTTTCAAATTAAGGTGATATATGTGTGTTTAGGTGACAGAATAGAAAAGCAGGAAAAAACAAAAAACATGTAGGTAACTGACACTGACACAATATGAGTGTATAACTGAGTATATATTAAGTAATATACCCCAGACTACAACAAAGAAAACAACGTACAATTGTGGAAAACGCAAGTTATAAAAATCAGATTTGTTAACATGAGTTTGTAGTTAGTTAATTTTATTTTGTAAAATTTTAACATAATTTTTTGTAGAAAACTAGAGTTTGTAAATATTTTAACAAAGGAAAATATTTTACCAAAAGTTTTGTAAAGGTAATATGCAATTTTGTGGGCATTTTGTTAATTTCAAATGTTTAACAAATTATTTAGTTACAGAATACATCAGTAAGTATTGTAGTAGTACTGATAATTATATTGTACCAAATTTCTTTATAATTTGATGATTGTTACTTAATTTTGTGTATGTTATTTTTATGTTCATTTATGTAAGTATGTGTTAATTTTAACATTTCTTATTAAAATTATTTTTATTTATTTTCAATTTGCAACAAATACTTTTGTTACTAGGTCTTTAAAAAGGTTCGTGAACATAAGGTCGTTTTTAAAAATTTCAACAATTATGGTTGAATTATTCAAATAGGGTTTTGTTGTAACAAAACCCTATTTGAATAATATATTAATTCTACAAAATATTTTTTATAATTACAAACTACTTATTAAATTAGTTAACAGTTGGTTGTAAACTTTACATAAAGTTATGTGTAGGTTTAGTTTTTAAATTTCTAAATTTTCGGTAAAAAATGATGATGTTTTTGTCACATACTCTTTTTATTTCAACCCCCTTCATTGTAAATTTTGATTGTGACCGATATGGTGCATATAATTGGTTAAATTGCAGAGCAATTATTTTAGTCTAGTCAAGTTGCACTAAGCCTAATTGTGGAAATAGCTGGAAAAAGCGTTTATATTTACACAAAACAATTATCCAATAAGTCGACTGGGCAGTATTTACGTCTTTATTAAACTCAAATACAAAGATATAAATGGATGCATGTTCCAGAATTTTACTAAAAAGGTAGGTATACAAGTCTTTTTCCTATGTCGTATTATTCATAAAGACGAAATCATTTAATATTTTATCCTTCAAAGCTTAATTTCGCCTTTGGTCCCGAGTTCAACGCTTTGTTTTATTAAACAGTGAAATTATTGTACTCGTGTTTAAAACGAAAATGTTCTTTCAACTCTTTTATTTATCCATTTTATTTACTTGTCGCAAATAACATAAAAATAACATTTTCTGTGAAAAGATGTCGATAATATACTTGATTATGGTATCTACCTACATATAAATATATATATCTACCTACCTTTGATTCACTGAATACAATTCATGGAATTATATCATGATCATGATTAAAGTTGTTCTATAGATTATTTAATATATTATTATAGAATATATGCACATACAAAATTATGATTTACTTGATTATAAGATAAAAAATATTAACAATTAAATTTTAACCTATTTATCGTCTGTCATGTTTGAGAAATTCGTCAAAATGTAATAAAAGTTCCAAACACTTTCTCACTCTTTTCCCAAATAAATTTTGTAGACTTGATAAATAAATTAAAATTATTAATAATAATAATTTTAAAAATCATAATGCCGTAAGCAAAAACATAATAAAATTAGTTTTTAACATAAAAAACTCACCAGGTAGTTCTTAAAAATAAAATAAAAAATATTAGTAACTAATGATCTGATTAACAACAAATAAGTTACCTATTAATAATGATTTTCTAACTATTTTATCTTAAGAGAAAATACATCTTTTATGTAATGTAAAAAAAGGATTGAAATTGGTTTAATTTATGATACCGTTATAGTGTTATAGAAAATAAATAAGAATTTATATTTAATTACTATTGGCCACTTAATCATTCATGTATGTTTAAATGTTCTATTTGTAATATAAATATTTACAGAGATTTTCAGACTTTTAACTACTTAAAAACAAATCATGTAAGTTTATTTAACATGGAAACCAAAATTTTACTTTTTCACAAAGTATTGGTGGTTTTCCTAGATATAAACTAAAATCTTTTTGTGTATTTTTTATTTAAAATAAAGTAATACATAAGGCCTAAATTAATTGTTTCATAAAGTAGGTTAAACTTTTTTTATATATAAGTGCGCGGTAAAACTATTTGTTAACTTAATCACTTCATAAACAAAACCCAAATTCCAATTTATTCTCTGAATACCTCAAATAGAATGTTAAACTGAACTTCCTTAATGATCTTATACAAACACAAAAACAAATGAGGAAAATGATAATGCTGTTTGGTTTGTTAAGAACCGTTAGCGCCTCATTTTGTAAGGAAGAAGCTTGATCAAGTCGATATTTACTAATTAATTATGTTTTTAGTGGTCGGTTACCGACGACTGAATAGCCACCCCTGACCTAATTCTGTCGCTTTACTTATGTTATACACAGACTCAGACTACATTATAAATTACAAGAACTGACAAGTACATATCTACCTTGAATATCTCTTCAAATATGTGATGTTCAAAAACTGATGATGTTTTAATATCAGGCATAGTTCACTAAATATGTATATCTGAAATTTTTTGTGTGACTAAGTTAGTACAAATAAGTTACTAAATATATTTTTTCTGCTCCCACCTTTAAAACGCCCTTTGTTTCCATGTCACTAAGTGACCTTTTAAATACACATTGACAAGTTGTGGCTTTACGGCGCTTTAGTCACGGGCTGAAGTTAGCAACAGGTTTTTAGTCACGGACTGAAGTTAGTTTTAAGTTATTTGACAGTTGTGAAATGTCATACAATCGTTAAAATAAAGTGCCTTTCTTGTAAAATATTACTAAATGTGAAAATTATTTTATTATCTCAATACAAAAATATTAAATAGTTTCTCAACGCCAATATTTGAAAAGTTTATATGAACATTGTACCGACCTTTTAATTTCGCCGGCAGTAAACTATAACTTAAATTCGGGCACGGACTCTACTGTAAAGTCCTCATAAAACATTTCCTTTACTTTCACTGTGAAAATCTGTCAATTTTCAAGATACATTTCGATTTATAACCTTTATAATTGTGTTTATAAAATGTAAAAATGTGGCATTTGCCAGTTTCCCCTGTTGTTTAATAGATGGCGCTCTATACAAATTTTTTATTTAAATCATTTTAAGATAATAATAAGTACCTATTTGTCGTAGAAAAAGTATAGTATGCACCATGTTTATAAACTTTTCTATACACTCATTAACTTAAGCACTCGCTCGCAAGCTCGCTCGTGCCTAAATTAAATTCGTGTATAAAATGGCGTTTATCAAACTTGATACATAATATACTATTATCTATTTTGCGTTCATAATGACTTTATTATAACACCGCTTTCGGTGCTGTAATGAGATACTTTATCCCAAAATTTTGATTTTATAGGTTGGCTATACAATATTTTGCATATTGGTTATACTATTTTTATGATTTTTCTAGTACCTACTAACACCAAAGAAAATCCTTTTTTTCTTCTTTAACATTAAAAGCGGCTTATTGTAAATAAGTAAATTAAGGACGGCATGGAGAATCGATTTTGACATTAACTGTCAAACCAATGACTGTGATACCAACTATCTAAAGTAAAATTCGACCAAATTAAATTTAAGGTATGAAATTAATTTTTTTTATAGAATTTTTGCAAAATAGATAAAATAGTATAAATAACTCATGTCATAAGACCGTTTGTCGCACTCGTCCATTACAAAATGACGTCTTATGACATTAGTTCTTTAATATACTATTTTCTGAATATTTACTTTTTTACTAAAGTTTCTTTAAAACTTTTCAACATTTTTATAGAATCTTCCTTCTTGCATTCTTCCTTATTCGGACGCTTTACCACCAACTGAATCATTGTTTGGTTACAACGTAGATTCTGACAATAAGCAACCAAATTAACTCTATACGAATATAATTCCTTTTATAAGTAAATCATTCTCAAGTAAATAATATAACTCTTTAAGAAGGTGGAATTTAATTATAACCATGTATATCAGCCAAAGTGGAAATGTGCCTGTGCCGATTCCTGCGCTTGACAAATTTTTCTTTTGATTCGGTGTCGCAATTTTCCTCTTCATAAAATTAATTACAGACACACTTAAGACCGAAGTAATTGCATAAATTTATTAACTTTGGTAGGCAAAGAGATCCATCTTTCTCAATTAACATGGTAATGGGATTTTTATCAGAAACTATCGCAACAGTTTCTACTTCGTTTAAAAATACTGTTCTTAAAATTTGATGTGTGACTTCACTTTATTTAAAAACTGGTTAACCAATCACAGCATTCTCTGTCACAATCTAGTATGCCGTAGAGAATGCCGTGCTTTGATTGATTGTGATGGAAACCCCTTTTTATAGAAAAAACATTATCCAGATATAGATCATATAAAATGTATTCCTTTCTTAAAATATTTATCATCATTTTTCCATTTAATACAAAATTCGGTTTCCTTCCTAAATAAAAACGATAAAAACGAATTTGCTCACTTCTTTATTTAATCGAAGATCAACATGGGGGAGAAAGAAAAGTTGGCAACAAAAATAAACCGAAGATTTGTTTGCAATTTATTTCCAGGCCTAAACTAATTTGCAAAGCAGCTTACCTTTTGCGACATTAAAATATTCTTGTTTAAGTTTAACTTTATAAGTTCCTTCTTCTTTTCAGTTATCAGTAATTGCTTTGTTGCACATTCTTGTACGATAAAGTCAGGATTATTATTTAACTTTATACTTTGATGATAGTAATTTTACTGTCTAAATAAAGGATTTGTATAATTTAACTTGTTTAATTAACTATTAAGTTTGGGGTTGGTATTTTTGGGTAAATGAAGTAGGTTTTCATTAAAATTTAACATTTTTGATTTTACTACACGAAAAAAAAAAAGAATTGATTTATTCTTATTTGTAATTTAACACGGTGCTGTTCTGAGAGATGATTTTTGGACTTTCTGTGAAACCTAATTTTTTTTTATATTCTTGTTAATTAGGTCATAACTTAAATTTTAAGAGCAAAATAAAAAAAATTTGACGGTTAATTTTGTTTTAATTGGATGTTTATTAAAAATATGTATGCACACTTTCAATTCTCCAATTAAAACTTGCGATTTTATTTAAATATTATCATAACTTTTTAAATAAGATTAAAGATTAGTTAATTTCCTAAAAAAAGGTCTATACATTTTTTATATCTTTTACTGTTTTGTTGTAATACTATACACGTTTAAAGTTTTAATTTAAGGTTAAATGTATAGAATACATTTATTAAACAATAATTCTAAGGGTGCCACATTTTATTTAGGGCCGATTTATTCATTTTTGATTTATTTGACGAATAATTTCTTTGGATACTAGATATTGCCAAGACATGAAAGTTATCGGCCCGATAAACTTTACTAAAGATAAATAAACCGGTCCTTAGTTAAATTTCATGAATTTCTTCGTAACTTTTACTACAATTTTTCATTTTTGTTTATAAAAAACTCTTTAAAAAACTAAACAAAAATTATAGAATACGTATACTGAAAATGACAATTCAAACATCAAATAAATTTTTAATAGATCTAAGTTTCATGGCAACCTTTAAGGATATATTAATTAAGGGAACATACATGTATACGTTAAAGGTTAGATTAAAAGTTTGAACGTTTATTGCAACAAAACAGTAAAATATATAAAAAAAATTGTAAAAACCTTTTTTTTAGTTATGCAAATATTAAATATTTAAATTAAATCGCTAGTTTTAATTGGATAATTGAAAGAGTGCATAATATTTTTAATAAACAGCCAATTAAAACAATTCAAACCGTCAATTTTTTTTATTTTGCTCTTAAAATTTTAGTTATGACCTAATTAACAAGAATATAAAAAAAAGTTAGGTTTCACAGAAAGTCCAAAAATCATCTCTCAGAACAGCACCGTGTAAATTAATACTTATTTAAAGGGGGTTGGATATAATTTTAATGTAAGGTGCAAGGGTAAACTTATTCTTATTTTAAGACAAACAATCAAATTATTTTAAATGCAAGCACCCTCAAATAAAATATATAATGCTTAATTTAAGAATACGTATTTTTTGATAAAAATTTTATAATTCTTGGCGATACAATGTTTACTTTAAAGTATCCAAATTTGGATTAAATATGAGGTAGCTTTATGTAAGTTAAGCAATAATTCTTTCAAATATTGTCTATTCTTTTTTTAACTTTTGCTCGACTTTAAATAAAGGTTAGGATATAATAACCATGTTTATTTCAAAAGGTAAAGAGTGGATTAAGCCATCTTTTTTTTAAGACTGATAGAGAAAATTAGATAGGATAATTCTCTCTTTACCTTTTAAAATAAACATGGTCACTATATCCTAACCTTTAAACTCGAGCAAAAGTAAAAAAAAGAATAGACAATATTTGAAACAATTATTCTATAGCATTTTCATTATTACATAACTTTTTTACAATGTTTCAGGTACCTATCTACCTATCTATCTATATATAAAAAATAAAGTGCAATGATTTTTTCAAACCTTCATACACGTTGATTTTGTTTGCGAGACGAACATTTTTGTCTATATTGGCATGTTATAATATTATATTTAAGAATAGGGCAGTCGTACCAATATTTACTAATCTTAGAATAAATATAATTATATTTATATCAAGCATATATCTTTAAGAGCAGAATAGAGGGAATTTTCCAAAATTTGGTCTGATCGATTGTGAATCTTAAATTAAGATAGGTTAATATTTAAAAGAAATTTAATGTATTCGAAGCCTAAGCAAATTATACTTAAATAAAGTGCATTTTTTTAAGAATAAAGGTATTCCTACATTAAGAAAAATTTTTTTTCGTGTACTGTGGATTAGGTGTATATAAAATATGTCGATGATGAAATTTTTGTATATGAGCTAAAATAGTTTTTTTATTAACAAAAAGTGACACTTAAAAGTTTACGCCAAATATATTTTTTTGTCTGTATACCACTGTTACTCCTAACGGTTTAAAAGGTGAAATGCCAAGTTTTCTTCTTTTTTTTAAAACATTTAAATCGTTTTTATTGGTCGGACCAAAAACACACCTTTTAGACCATGTTTAAAATCCAAATTACCCGATTTTTTTTTCAAAGTACATATTGACTACCATAGCCTGAAACGCGAAAACAATTCGCCATCTGTCTTAGCCATTCTATCAGTTGATGTAGAAGCAATGTAGAAGGCGTGGTAATTGAGGTAATTGAGGCAACTCGACCAGCAGAAAACATTTAACGAAAGGATAAAGATGTAAGCAAGGATCGGTGAATACCTACAGACAAAAAGACGATCAAATCTTTATAAAGGATATCTGTTCTGAATAGGATATTCCGATGTTACGTATTTCCGCAGGATAAGTTAACAAGCACTGTCCAGGGAGTAATATCGTCTGGAATAAATATGTCAGCGAATTTCAAGGATTTTAGGTTTTAGAGACGGTGTTTTGCTGCTTCAACAAGTTTAACTATAATACATCTAAAATCTAAAAATGACTTCATGAAGCAGTTCCTCAATCAAATTAGAATTAACCTTGTCAACTTTCTTTTAGTTATTATTTTTGCAGACCAGTATTATTTCAACATGGTAATTTTAAAACCCTAATATAATTCCAAGTTCATTTAATTAAACTTTTAAAACTTTTAATCTCATCTAGACTTAATTAGGTTGAGGTTTTTTAACGTAAAAATTTGGTCAATAACAAAATGTTATTAAGGGAAATATAAAAAGAGATTGAGGATGAAGTAAGGCTCAGGACGTTTTTTTATTTTATTTCTTTTCGTTTCAATATAATGCGAGATCAGGATATAAACGATGCGCATACCGCGAGAATTTACCGGTTGGAAAAATAGAGATATCCTCGATTCTCATAAAGTATTTTAATATGTAATAAAAAAAATAAAAGCACAATGATCATTACATACACCTTTTTAAATAAATATAAGGATGTACTTCTATTATTAAAAATATGTGGTTATATCCACGATATCATGTCTATATAAAACCAGAACATATTTTGTAATATTATACAGACTAAACACTTAATTAAAATTATTTAGTCAAGATTGACTATTGTCATAGTAAAAACTGTAGTCAACAGCACTTTGTATCTCGAATATTTAGCAGTAAATTCCTAATAAAATTGTCCACCGAATCAAAAAATGTCGTCAAAAGTTTAAAAAGTAAAAAAGTTTTTGAGAGTTCGGATTAAAAGGGCAATTTTACATAGTAATTTTCCGGATACAAATTGCTGTGGACTACACACGGTGTGCCTGAACGAAGTTTAAGTCAAGCCAAAAACTGATTGCAGTTTCTTGTTGACTTTTTTTTAAATTTTTGTTTATTTTAAAGTCTACCTTTGACAGATTTTTATAAAATTAGAGTATATTATTTAGGAGACTTAAAGAATACTTTTTAAAACTGTTCACGTCATTTGATATATACAGGATGAGCCAAATATCGCTTATTTTTAATAAAGCAAAAGCGTAAATTCATAATTTTGGCATAACCCGCAAAAAAGATTTATCCCCATTTTTTTTTAGATATTTCTACGTTTATCAGGTTACAAAATGGCATTCTTATTAACTTTTTATAAAAAAAATAGATTTTTAATAAAATTAAATAAAATAACGCTTAGATAATATTTAAAATGTTGTTTAATTTAGGCTTTTTAGTAGTTTTCAATTTTGAACGAAATATTGGTTACTGTTTTTTGATCGGCACTCTTTGGAGATTTAAAAACGATATTTACCAAAATTCTAGTAGATTTTTTTAAAATTTGTTAAAAAATTATTTTTTTAAATTATTTGTTTATCGCAACCTTGGCAGAGTAGGTACACATTTGTATACCGAATTTTATTGATTGCAGTTTCTTGT